ACGCTCTTTAAGAGGCTGCAGAAGACAGCATGGTGCTCTTTGCCCTGCAGGAGAATTATCTACTCATTTGCATGCTGTGCAGGATACGCCTCCTTTACGACGTGAATGAGCTCACTATGTGAAACATGTGTACGTCTTGTTTACGTAGAAACAACAGCAGGAGATAAATAACTCAATGTACAGACCACAGAGAGGGGAGGGTGGGGGGCAGGAACCAGCCGCGAGGGACCTCAGCTAGTCAGCACCGGTTCCACAGACACACACACCAAAATGCTAGAAAATTAAACTGTGGGTGTGTGTGTCTGAGGGAGGGGACAACAAGAGGGGGTGAGGGGTAAGGGGAGGGAAGAGACGACTAGACTGGTTTAAACCTGCGATGACAGCATTTTAGTTAGTGTTCAAAATTCTCACAACAATCAGTGATGAAAACAAACACAGTGGCTTTGCACATCTTATCTGCCCTGGATTTGTCTGCAGAAAGACATTATCCTAGATGCTAATGTCATTATACACACACTGACACACACAGCCTGTCCTCCTCCTCCAACAACTCTATTAAACCCCCATTCTCTGCTCCATGACCTCCTCTAACAGCATAATAGAAGGAGAAGTAGGGTAATACAAATCAACAACACAACCTGAAGTGAGGCTTTTCTGCACAAGGGTCAAGAGTAACTGACGTATAAGTACATTTATAGGTAATTTTGCAGCGCTTGTCCATAGATTGCAGTGACTAATGACATAGATATTGATCCTTCTATTATAAGCATGAAATTAAAAAAATATCTGCTTGTATTTTAAAGTTTTTGCTTTTTCCATTTGATACTTTGAACAGTACCTTTGAGACAAGACAACGCTCTCTAAGCCTTTTAAATTAAATACTTATCCAGTCATGCACAATTATGTGAAAAACTCTGTGCAGTTCTGTAAAAAACTAAGTGCACCCTACGACTCAGTAGTTTCCCTTGAACCACCTTTAGCACCCATGACTTGCAATAATCATTTTCTGTGTCACTTTATCACATTAAATGTCCCGCTTTTCTTTGCAGCATTGCTTCAGTTCACTGAGCTTATCAAGCATTTATACACGCACAGCTCTCTTAAGTTCCCACCGCAGCATTTGAGTCTGGACTTTGAGGCCTTGCAGCACCTCGATTCTTTTCTTTTTCAGTCATTCTGTTCCGTTGTCCTTGTGATCATTCACCTGTTGCATGAGCCAATTTAGGTCGAGGCTTAGCTGTCGACCTCACGTTTGACTCTAGTGTCGATTCAATGACTCCTTGTGTTCGGATTTTACCAAACATGGTGCTGTGCATTATGCTCCAACATCTCCACTTTGGTCCCATCTGTCCAAAGGACATTGCTGCAGCAGTCTGGTGATTTTTCAGACGCCTTTCTTTCCAAGCTCCTTAGACTACGATGACCTGGATGACTGAAAAGCTTCACAGACATAGAGAGAAGACGCTTTCTTCTGACGGCGTAACCAAACAAACCATCGTTGTTCAGTACTTTTCTAATTGCACTGTCACAAACATGTAACATGCTAACTGAGGGCTGTAGAGTTCTTTTGCAGTTTCTCAGAGGACTGCATGCTTTGACTTTGAGATGTAATTGCTGGGACTTTTGCGCTTTTGCATTAACGCAAAATGCTTCAAACAAGAAAACTCTCCAAACTTTAGCTTTTATGGAAATAGTCAAACTTCCTGATGATAAATAGCAACACCTAGCTTACAAGTACCGTCTTGATTCCTTTGGAAGCAGGTTGGACTTAGTTTTTCACCAAACTGCGCTGATTCATGTGAAAACTTTGGTCTTCACACGACTTTACACTCTGGGGCAAAAAAAAAGGATAAAAAAAAAAACAGGACATAACTGTATAATTCAAGCAAGCATGAATGTTTTTCTTATATTTTCACTCAACTAGAGAAAATACTGAATGACACTCATTGTTTTCCAGTAACAACAGCTTTATGTTTGCCTACTGGTGGTGGTCAGAGGGCCCGGTGGCGCCTGTGTCCGGCAGCCTCGCCTCTGTCAGTGCGCCCCAGGGCAGCTGTGGCTACAATGTAGCTTGCCATCGCCAGTGTGTGAATGTGTGTGTGAATGGGTGAATGACTGAATGTAGTGTAAAGCGCTTTGGGGTCCTATGGACTAGAAAAGCGCTATACAAATGCAGGCCATTTACCATTTACCATTTACCGACACTAGGGGTGCAAAATTAGGTTGACCAATGACACTTCTTTCTGTGAATAAGCTTCTTGTCAGTCATATGGTGAGGCATAATCTTATTTATCCTTCTTTTTGACTCTAAGGAGATCACCATTTACAAAATCAACATCCTGTTGTATACAGTAACACTTGAAATGACCCATTTAGCCCAGGAAAAAGGTTGCGCATCAAGAGAGCTGAAGTGCTGTTTTCCATAGTCGCCTGCACAACAGGATGCATCTCTGCAGCGTGAGGACTTTCCCCTTTGCTGATTAGAAGGCTTTTACGCACACTTCTGTCGCCGCCCTTTCCATTCAAGTCCTCCTTTCAGCCACTGGTTGTGTCAATAGTACAACAGTGCTTCGTCTTGCTCCTCAGGTAACCCCCCCCTCTCAGCTGACAGGGCCTGATATCATAAATGTACTTGAGGCCAGTGGGACAGTGGGTGTGGTTTAGCTCCTGACATCTGAAGCTGCTCGTGGACTCACAGGAAGCGACACACTGTTGCCTCGTAATCATATTCAGGCCACCAGCAGACTGGCAGGGACACTTGTCACCTTACAAGGATAGGAAAGAGTGTGTGAACGCACAGAGGTGACATTGCAGAGGGATCACTTCGGTGCAAGTTTAGAATCTGCTGAACAAAAAAAGAAAATGGAGTTTTTAAGCTATTAAAATGTCATTAACTCCACTAAGAACAGCAAATCAGAGCAAATACTTGCCTGGCTGATACATCTGTTTAAGCATGTCTGATTTAACATGATAGTTCTGGTCTGCTGACCTGCTGTTAATCATTCACAGCGCAGATTTAAAATTAGAGAGAATGTCCCACTGAGGCACGTCTGTCCTTCACCCACATCCACAGGTGTAAATCTGTAAGCGTGAGTGTGCAGCTGCCATTAAGACCACAACGCAGACTTTAACTCATGGAGACAGACTGTTAAAGAGCAGCTTCACTGTCAGCCCAAAATACAGATTTGGCTCATTTAAGTCTTCAATCCATTCCAGGTGTTTTTGACAATCAGTGCTCTAAAATAAGAGTAAGAAGACAATTGGAAAGTGTTGAAAACACTCAGATACTCAGAATCAATCAGCAAACGTCACCCACTTAACCATTAGAAACCTCTGGTGCTTTGAGCTCAATGTAGCAGATGATGTTAAGGTTGAAGTCCCACTAAGGTGACTGGTTTTATAAACCCTAAAGGTTTATATGAAAATAGAAATGCTCTTCAAAATAACTGCATGATTTCCAGTAAAAAACAATGTCATTTATAGTCCTCTAATGAACTATTAAGGCATTGTACTGAACAAAGTTGAATTATGTGTAATTCCTCATTCACAGTGGAAGAACAAGTTTTAGAAAGCATGCCTCTTGTTTCACTAACTACTTCCTGGGTGATTTCTGGGCAGCGGGCTCAGACTCACTCTAAGAACTCATCTGGGTAAATTTCCAAATCACTGCAGCCAGAGCACTGCCTTTGATAAGCCTTAAATAGAAGCCAGGAAAAAAAGCATGTAGCGAGATTCACGCTGTCCATTTGTTCCTACCTGATATACAGCTGGTCATTCTTGTTCAGGAGTGACAACAAAACTGTTTGCAAAGTTATATAAAAATCATTTTTAGCTGCTTGTGCTGGCACAGACTTTAAATGTGTGCAACAAAATCTGAGCTGGCTGCGACTGTTTCCACGTGACTCATTTGGACTGGTGACGAGGTATAAACATCTGGCCAAGCCTTTATTCCCTGAAATCACTATTTACCTGTATCTAAAGGGCAAAATCCACGGTCTTTATTACTGTGCAGACTCTCGGGAAGACCTTAACAATATATATTGTGAATGTTTTGGGGCATGAACAAAGAGACGTGATTCCTGCCATTAGATTATAGATTGTAGAAGGTACAGAAAGAAAAACCGACTGTAGGCGTATGAAAAATGAGCCAATAGCAAAATGTGTTCTGAAGCTGAAGCTGACGTTTTGTTTTGGCATAAATAATCAGTTTCATCTTGAGTAGGAAACTAAGTGTGACTTAAGGTGAATCAATTTTTTTATGGTTTGCAATGATTTTAAGCCTTCTGGAGCCAGGTACCCCTTACACAAGGACCCCGACATAAGTGATTTCTCACTATCTGTTGGAAATTTTAGTTTTTCAATGATAACGCTGGTGCAAGCGATCGACATCATTTGTTGGCAATGTAAATATGCACAGAAGTCAACTAACAGTCCAGGACTTTTAGGATCCCCAGCCCCAATCAGAGAACCATAAATCTCATGCCTTGTTTACAGACCTAATATTAAAGGAAATGTCATTTTGTGCAACAACATGGGTTGGCTACAGTATGGTGATGGTAACAAAACATAACCGTACAAAATATAAATAAAGAAAGAAAAGCGGTGATGCTCTCTCTATGGATCAGTATAGAATAAATAGAAAAACCTGACTCCCGGATGTCAAACGATATCAAGGATCACATCATGATCATAGTTTGAGAGAGTCAAAATCATCTTAACTCACTTGTCATTTTGCATCTGTTATTTCGTTTTTCCTACACAAGCGGCTATTTATGCTTTATCCACATCAACACGTGCAGATGGAGGCACAACAAGCAGGAAGCACTGCACAAGCCTACAGTACGTGCATTAAGGAGGGGTTAGCCGGGAGGGAGAGTGTACAGGAGGAACGCACAAGAAAGGAGGGAGGGTGAGAGAAAGCAGGCGTGTCCATTCAGCATGCTCCGGGGATTAGCTATTTAAAGTGCGGCGACTGCGCGCCACTGAAACCATTCCACGGTGCCAATAAGGACGCGGATCTCAGGACGTGCAGGACGAGGCAGCGCAGCAAGGACACAGAGTGAAGCACATTTTAATGAGGGGACGCAGATAAAGAGTGAATAGACGCGTAGACAGCGAGAAGAAAATCAGCAGTATCCAGTATTTCATCGGGTAAGTAATCAAACTAACCCTCAATTCAACCATGACTGAAAGGTTGTATCAAGTTGTATTGTAAAAACTTGCTTGAGTGCATCTCGGTTTTTTTTTAAATGTTCTGTTAAAGCTTCACGTAGGTCATGATTTATTGTTCGAATAAATAGATAACCTCGTATGTGATCTTCTCTTATCAAACAGCTTAAGTGTGAGAAGAGGAGGTGTGTGTTTGTGGGAGGGTGCCTGATTATGACACTGTCTGGCAACGCATGGAAGACACTATTACTGACAACAGCCTGCCACACTCGATTATTTACGCGTGAATAAGCCACCGATTCTTCTTCTTATCTTTCTTCTGCGTTAATTAGCAGCAAGATTTATGGTCCAATAATGCGATTTATAAGCATGTTTAACCTCATGCTACCAACTTTAACACATTTCAATAGCCTAGACAAGGAGGAAACGCCACCGCCCCTTTCGCACAGCTTAAAGTTGTTCAAGGAGACAGAGACACGAGTGATGCGCGCAGTGCTCCAGATGAAAGCTCAGATTAGCCCGTCTGGCGTAGTCCGAGCATTTCATTCAAACTTCCACCTGTACGCGCGCACAGGACTCCACCTCACACACTCTGTACCTGTAGCATAGGCGCAAGGAGATTTAACAATCCGGTTAGGGAACTTCTTTAAATAACAAGTTCAGGCATGGGAAAGCGTTAAGTGTCGTGAAAGTTGTTTATGATTCATAAAAAGCATAAACCAGTAATGAAAAGACGTTTCTCGTTGTACAAGTGCTAGCATGTAAGAGGAAGATTGTTTACAACACTGGATTTCTTACAAATTTCAACTTAACTTAGAGTACCAAGTTATTATCTTTATTTTTTTTGTTATTTTCTTAGAAGTTTGAGTTACTAAGTCCAAAAAATTGAGATAACAATCCAACATTTTGGCTATTTTATTTATTTATTTATTTATTTATTTATTTATTTATTGTAGTGGCAAAAATAAACAGCCATAAAACATGTTAGAGGAAATTAAAAACAGAAATCATCAAAGATTTCTTTTTTTTTTTTTGTAAGAAAAAACCTCTTATTTGAAATATAGTTCAACAGTTACATAAATGTTACATCAAAAAGAGGACTTGTTTCATAAAGGTGCAGCATCAGCGTCTCATAGACACTGAAATAAAACATGTTGAGTTATTAGCTGGCTAGCATGTTGACGTGACATGAGATTTTCCATCTATTTGGTGTAATCATGCAAGTTAATTTTATGAAAAATATATTTTGCAGTGTTTAAGAATTAGTTCAAATATGACATTTAGATCGAGTACTAGGCCCACTGCACTTTTCAACAGGAGCCGCTCGGGCATAGAAACCCATGAAGCTCCCAGCTGATAGTTTAGTGCTGATGTTAATGCCAGAGAAAGTTTTGGAAGTTTATTGACCCCACTTTGTAACTTTACGTGGTTTGACACTCCCTGGCTGAGTTGCTGTGGCTCTAAAATGCTTCCACTTTGCAAAAACACAACATATGTTTTTAAATGTGGAATATCTAGAATGGAAGAAATTTCACAAATTGATATTTTATAGTGGTAACACCCATGCTCAAGTCCATCTGGATGAGATTAATTTGAGCATCTTTACATTCCTTTGTTTGATTTATGAGCAGCTGAATAGCTGACAGATTTCTGTGGAGTTAAAAACAACTTGTCTCGTGAATACAGAGAGAAGTAGAGGTTTAAAATGAGCGGGCCTATCACTGCCTGATCCGTCTTTTCTTTGAATATTCAAGGGAAGATGTTCTAAAAGCTGTTTTATCCTCCATCTCTGATGAATATGAATAAAAGCTGACTGCATGCTGCTACGAATGCACACAGAGACATCTGCAGGTAGACGTGCACAGAGTGTGCGTCATCCAGTCTGGAAAGTCTGTATGGAGCTTTGTGGCAGGCAGACTGGCCTTTTTAACTTTTATTTTTATTTTTTTTAAATAAAACTCCTGGGACTGACTGGAAAAGGTCAGGCCCAGTCCCAGCTGAGTGAAAGTGTGGGAAGATCGTTATCATGTTCCTGCATGAATATGTGCTTTGAAGAGTGCAGACAGAGAGGATCGGTGGCATTTGTGGAGGGTACAAAATATATGAAGGGATCAGATTTAATTTAGCTTAAGTTTCATAATTATTCTGTTATGTTTCGTCAACGACACACACTCACACGCACATGCACAGACATGTGCTTTAAATGATGTGACACAATACTGGCATAGATTGTGAGCCAGAAGCCGCTCGCTAATGTTTCTCGGAGGGATTGCGCAACCTTCAGCTTCACCAGCAAAGCGGCGCTAATTGAACAAGTAAAACTGCATTATTTAGGAGCGGCATGTTAACCACATAAGCTGCCTGCAGGCTGAACTCTCCGCTGTGACAAACAGGCATGGGATCCTAACAGTCACAAACCCTTTCCCCACTTTTCCTCATCACTCCTATCCTCCTTTTGTGACTGTAAGCCTTTTTTTTAAAAATAATTTATGATGATGTTTTTCTTAGTCGCCTTCCTTTTCTGCTCTTTCTCATCCCATCCTCAGCCTTCTTTATTTTGTCCTTTTCCTTAAGTGCTTTTCCTCTTGCCCCCTCCCTTCTTTGTGTGTGTGTCTGTGTGTGCCATCTGAGGTTGTTTTTCTTTTTCATGCTCCCAGGCCTACTGTGTGCTGCCAGACCCCCACAGCCAACCAAGATCTGTGCCCAAAATTCCTCACTACTGACCAGCCCTTCATATTGTGTGCGCATTTGTGTGTGTGTATGAAACTGGTTCAAACTCTGTACTGTCCCTGTTCCCGTGCTATACTGTGATTTCCCAGAACCTCTAAATTGACCTAAACATAATGGAGTCACTGTGCGTGTAGATGGCATAAGGTTTCAGAGCCACACCTGACTGAAATGCAGATGGGAGGAGTATCGGATGGTTGGAAATAGAGGAGGAAAAAACGCTTGTACTGTGAGAATTTGTCAAGAAACAGGGTGGCTGTGAAATTAGTGTCAGAGTTTCACACTTAGTGGACACATACCTCCCCCATTGGCTTGTCTGTGACGGGGTGTAGCAGCTCTGAGACCGTGGGTATGTGCGAGCTGTCACGTCTGCCTCACTGAGTCAGGCAGCACGACCAGTCAGCAGTAAATAGTTGTCGGGGCGGGGGTTTTGGGGGGTTGTATATTTACCCAGGATTGCCTTTCTTTATGTTGCAATCACAGTTTACAGTTTGCGATCAGATATCTAAACGTGCCTCTGGGATGAATAAACGGTGAATTATCAAACTAAAAGAGGTTTCCCCATCAGAGTGACGAGGTTTACTTCAGACAGAGGTGGGAGGATTAGGATCAAACCTGCTCTGATCATAAATATTGTGACTAACTGGCTGAAGGTTTAATTCCAATAAAAAAAAAAACACACCCAAATGCAAATAAGGAGCTGATTATTACTGTATCCCTTTAAACGAATTGTGGGGTTGGGCACTCATGTCATAATGAGGATGTCAATGTACACTTTAAGCCCTGCATGACTGTTTAAAAAGGTGTACATCATATAAGAGATATCATATATAACCATATTTAATGAAAAAAAAGCTCAGCATTTAAAAAATAATATTGATAAATTCAGCTTTTCATCTTTAGCCAACCATGACAAAACAATTATACTGCAGGTCTCTGGACACTGAAGTCTGAAGCTCCCTGTCCATCCATCATCGATCCTACAAAGACATCACACCCGGAGAAAATCGTGCCTGCTTTGTGTCACATCTTGCATCCTTTTTGCTTCACTTTGTGGGTTTTTGTGTGCAAATATTTGCAGTTGTGCAACCCTTAAACATCAATTTTTCCCTTCTTCTGCTTTTGTCAATTTGTAAAGACCCCAAAGGGAAGTAAAACATCTACCAGTGCAGATGCCAGTTATTCATTCCATACTTCACTGTTGCCCTTCAATTGTACCTCAAAAGAATTACTGTAATCATTACTGATAGGAAATCTTGCTAAGTGGTTAGATGGTATTATTCCTTTATGTATTTTATCTGAAAGTGCAGTAAATATCTCCTCAGTTTCCAGTTTGTCTGGTAACAGTTAAATGTGAACATTTATTAGACTGGCATGTGAGGAATAAGCGCTTGCACTTCTCTGCACAGCTACAATAGAAACTGTCAACGTCCATCAGCTCCTTCTGCTCCATTTCACCTGACCTATTTCTTAACCTGATTAGCCTAAAATAAATACCTTTTTTCTTTCTAAGCAGCTACAGCTCTGTGCCGTCATGTGACCCTTTATCTCCCCACTGCAGAAAGGCGGACAGTCCGCAGGGAAATCATGAATTTGACAGACATGTCTGGGTCGAGCTCTGCAGATAGGTCGAGGTTGAGCAGCTGTTTTTTTTTTTTTTTAAAGTTTGATTTTTGCTCTTCAATATCAGTTAAAACAACAGATTTAGAGGTAAATTTGAGAAACTGAAGTTTTTGCTGATATGAGATATGAGGCTGTCAGCTGTGACGTGCCTACATCAGACGACCTCTGTGTAAAATGTCTTTGCTTGTCAAAAGAGAGCTTATCATTCGCCCTGGCTGCTGTAGTGCACTGACGTCCTGTTCCAGGATTAGACGGCGTGGAGGGTGGTGGTGATGGAGTGGTAAATAGTGACTGAGTGGTTGGTTGCTGGGCCGCCGTGCCATTCGGTGATACTGTCAGCTTACATTAAGCGGTCGCGCTGGTGAAGCGCAGCATCATAATTCCATTAAACGGTGACCTGGTGAGGAGACGATGAACTGTCAGCAGAGCTGCTGTGGCTGTGATGAGGCGGCTTAAGTGCGAGCTGTGGAAGAAGTGTTGTCACGATGGTTTAACTCGGCTTACTTCATATTTGAGAGAAAGCTCGTGGAAGATTTGCGTACTTTCCAATCAGCTCACTTATATTTATGTCTTTCTTCACTTCTTTCTCTCCTCAGGCATCTCTATCATGGGTGTGAAGATGTTACAGTGCTTTCCTTTCTACAGACGCTGCAAAGAGCGCTGCAAGAGCAGGCAGTGCCCGCCCCCTCCAGGTGAGCACCACCTCCTGTATATTCCAACTGTATGAGAAAATCAAATGCAGAACAAACCGCTTGACTCTCTATCTGCCACCCATACAGTGCCTGTGGAGGAGATGAAGCCACGTCTGTCCTCTACGACATCCTGGGGCAGTGACAGCGAAGGAACAGGAAGCATCAATCGGGGTTCCCAGATCTATTTCTCCACCAAGGCCCGGCTTTCTTTCAGACACCAGCTGGACAGCAACATCAATGCAGTGGATGCCACCTACTGAGGAAGACCCAGGGCTTCATAGGACTTGAATGGACTCAGTTTTCCATCGCCGGTTTATGCTTGGAGCCCGATAGTAGAGCAAACACATTTTGACGCCACCTTTAAATGGGAATGGCGGTAGAGTTGCGGAACCACAGTTTGTCTTTTAACTGCTTGTTCCTCGCTGCTCGCACACAACAGCTAATGATTCGTCAGATTCAAAGGACAGAGGGAAAAGGACTGGGATGAGACGGCGCTCAGAAGTCAGACGAGTAGATCCGCTGCCCAATCGGGCATACTGATGAGGGCGAGGACAATGTAGAGAGTTGTTTACAGCGTTCACTACCAATAAGTGCATTACTTTGTCTTCTGTTTGGAAGGTGTTTTTTTTTTTTTTTTACTGTGTTTCTTTTATATTTCTTTTTTTTTTTTTGACTACCTTTGTAGAAAAAGATCAATTTGCTGATTAGATCATGGCTGGAGTTAATTAAGGCTGTTTCACAAAGCAAGAGGAGGAAGATAGCATTGAGTGTGATGAAGTGTGTGACTATCTAAACCTCATCATTAAGTCATCATCGTGAAGTAACTTTCTAATCCTGCTCTGTGACACAGAACCCTGCAAGTTTAAAGTGAGATAATAAAACAGAAAATGGTTTGCTGTTTTATAAAAGACATTAACTGTAAAAACATGAGGTGGGACTGTGTGCAACATCTGCTGACCAGGTCTGAGCCTGTTTAACAGCAGTGTTGTTAATAGTTAATATTCATCTGTGAGATCTACGGTGGCCCTGATACTTCAGAAAGGCTTGCTGAAATCCAGTTGTGTTGTGCACCACAGGGCAACCGTATGAAATAAGCAGAGCTACACAGCAGCTTATTTCTGATAGGTATTTTCTTAGTCTTGCTTGATTCTGATCAATATTTTTAATTAGAAAAAAAGACGCTCTGGCTGTGTTTTTAAATTGCACGTTTTTTTTTGTTTTTTTTTGTAAGAAAACCTTTCTGTATTTGCCCAAATTGAAAAACTATGACTGTTAAATGCTGATCAAAAAAAAAAAAAGACTAATGATCACTTGTTCAAATCCAGAGTATGTCAAAAATATCTTCATTCTAAACTAAGCAAATATAAAATAAGTTGTAACAAAATGTCTCCGGTGTGTTTTTTTTTTGGGCTGGGGGATATATTGCTTGACAATGTTGTGAAGACACAAGGATACCAAATATTGGCATTTTCTAAAAACTAAATTCAAATACTCCAGGAATGCTACAAACAAGAGGGCTCCTCTCGTGCACGACCATCTGCAAAAAACGTCACCCAAGAAAACTCGCGGTTCAACACTGGACACTGACCTTAACAAAGCTGCTTCCTAACTCAGAATAAGCTCAGGCACATGAGCTCAACTCGACTGGCTGCCTATTGTTTGTTTTCTGGTTATATTACTATGGAACAGGAAGTTTACTGAGTGCAAGTCTAATAGTTAAATGTGAATTTGTGTTTGTGTAGACAGCAGCAGATGTGATTTTTGATGATTTATCACAGTTAATTGGAGTGTTATCAGAAACAAATTGCAAATAACTTCCAACTTGTGGACTGATATCAGACGTGCTCGCTCTTATAGCAACATTTATGGCAGGTTTTAGTGACGGTCTGCTTGACAGTCTCATTTTGCAGGAAAAAAAATAAAGTGAGATAACTTTATGTTACTGGATGAAACAGATGACAAACTTTTAGCTTTGAGGACACAATTTGTTGTTGAAAAAATGTGATAAGTTGCATGTTTTATCGCAAAATACTAAAAATAGCAATAATATGGTATCGTGTGGAGGCCCGGCGATGCGATCATTATGGATAATGTGCAGAGAAGCCGTGAAAAGTACACAGGCAAGATGGAGACGGGGCATCTAGTGGACAATATTTATTAAAAAAATGTTTACAGGTATAAAAAAAATAAAACAGTTTGAAAACAAACTTCTTCAGAGTTGTGAGCAGTTATGATGACTGGATGTTTTTGGGTTTGGAGATGACGCCGTCTGGATAACGTTTCTTAAACCGAGCCACGACCTCGGGATCCAACAGATGAATGCCGTCCAGCTGGTTCCCGAGAGTTATCCTGGACAGGAAATGACACAGACATTGTGAGGTGTGTAGAGCAGCTCGCTGGTCTCTAAATTAAAGCATGATGGTATGTTACCAGTTAGGCTGGACATTGTGGGGTCGACCAAAGAGCTCAATCTTCCTGGTGCCGGGTGAGAGTCTCTCTATCATGCCGTAGATCTCGTCTGGCTTGTGACTCGTGGAGCGGACCTGAGAGCGCACAGACATGACTCAGGCTGAAGGAATTATGGGTAATGACACCACGTATAACAGAGGATTTACAGCTGTTTACCTCTGCCACGATGACATCACAGTCCAAACCCCTGTTGAACCCCTGCGGGTTTCCTTTTACACCAACCTGAAGGCAAACACGTTTAGAATGAGACAACACAGGTTCAGCTATTTCAGCTACTGGACGGTTAAGAACGACAAAAGCAAAAAGTTGCTGAAGGTTAAATTCCTCGAGCCCGAACCCCAACGGGACCGTCCTCACAGTATAACACTGAGATTGGTTCAAACCTACCAGGCAGTGCTCCTTCCCGTGGTTCAGCCAATGACCCGTCCTGCCGGTGCGGATGATTCTCTGGAGCTGGTTGGTTTTCACCCAAATGATTTCATCCACACGCTCATAACTGAGAGAGGAGGATAAAGGCTGAATGATTAAAAAATAAGGGGAAAAATATGACACGATGTTGACAGAAAGGCAAAACTTACCCCCAAAGGCTGAGGCACTCTCTGCCCAGCTCCATAGCCCTGAAACAGGAAGAGAACGTTGAGTCTGAATACCATTTCTAAGAATAATGTTTAGGATTGGGGGAAATATCAGTTGTCAGACATGTAGTTACCTTCTTTGGGTAAATAATTAACCTGAATAGCAGCACAAAGTAGTGCCAGCTTCCTGTCGTGCTGAAGCTGAGTGAAGAGCTGTACGCAAACACTGACCGGGCTTCTCATCATTTATGACGAGTGAATGTAAAACTGTAGAGATCTGGCACCGTGCGGCCGATGTCATATTAACGAGAACAGAGAAGCATTGTGCAAGTTCCCTGTTCGATAGATTTATTTGCTAAGCCAATGCAAACTAAGCCACCAGGTTTTCCCCATCACCGCCACATGTTAATGTTGGGCATATGTGCACTGCTCACTTAAACACCTTGTTCCCAGCTAAAAGTCTACTTCTTTAGAGCCTTGCTGAATGACGACATGCCCCATTTCTTTACCCAGTCTTTCATTCTGTCAATGACTGTCTGTTGCCCAAGCTTCTATCTATCTATCGATCTATTTATCTAATCTAGACTTTAAAACGTTTATATTAAATTGTAGTGAACTAGGTGAAGTCTCATCTTAAGGGAAAGCGTTTCATAGGAAAAAAAGCAGCCATTATTCTCTAGAAGTTTAACTTAAACAGGCTGAGGGGCGTTAATTTGTAGATCAAATGAAACATTCAGCTATGAGTTAAATGTTGACATAAAGTGGTCAGCTGTCCTGCTAACTGAGCCAGATTTCTGGACTTCTTTTTAGTTACCTGCCAGTGACCCAGAGGAAGAGGAAGCCGTCATCCTGCAGGATGGGGATGTTCAGTTTTCTCATCTCGTCATCAGTCAGAGTACCGTAGGGCAGCTCCATGTGGATGTCCCAGGGAGGGTCAGCCATCACTACGGCGAACTTACCCAGGATGGACACGTCCAGGTAGCGGATATCACAGCAGATCCACTGAGTACCAAAGCACATAAATCACACTATTTTACGATTTTAAAAGACATTATGACACACGAATGCGTCCAGTCTCATAGGCTTCTTTTAAATCATCCCCATCCTCCTCCTCACCTGTGAAGGGAAGAGTTTGCCCACATTGCTGTCGGCGTCCCCTGCGTGGAGACCAAGCTCTGTGGTCCCCGCCTGGGGCCCCAGCAGGTTCCCCTCGGTCTCCGGGGGGCTGTCGATCTCATAGTGGACGTACTTACAGGTGTCCATGTGGAAACAGGTGTTGAGGAAGGAGCAGTCGCCGAGGCTCTCGTCTGTGTGCTTGTTGATGATGCGACTGTATGACAAAACATAAAGTTAACATCACAAAGTAAAAAAAAATTGACACCTAAATTGCATTTAGGTGTCAGACCTTGTGAAGCAAATACAGACCGAAAGTGTAACTTGGTGCATGGCTGGTTAATGCAAGGTTTAAGCTGTTAAATGCTCACATGAACATAATAGTGGGCAGAGAATCCCTTTTTATGTAGGACAGTTTTCCAAACTTTATGTATTAGAAAACTTAAAATGATGCAAAATAAAACTTCTGGTGCAGCACATTAGACACATGTATGAGCAGGACACTCTCAAAACGTGGTGTGTCTCATATTTATATCAAACAGTATTTAGCATAATCACAGTGCCACCTGGAGGCCAAAGAGAGTATTACTCAAACACTTATGGATGTTTGCTATACTTGAAAAACAAAGCAATTAATGGGTAAATGTACTTAGCAGGTCAGCTAGAATTTCCCATATTTATGATACGCTCTTTTCTAGCTGTAGCACAGCAGCCTGTATTCTCGTGATTTGGACAATCCAGGACTGTCAGGGAAATAAACTTTC